TTCAGTGGCTGGCTTCACTCATTCATTCAACAAATATTTAAAGCGGTTCTTCAAGGTATCAGGCACTACTATAAGCACTAAGGTTACATCAATGAACAAAAAAGTTCTAGCAGAACTTATACGCTAGAGTAGAAATATTATTACAATACATACATATGTGTATACAATGTACTACAGGTGACATGCAGTTAAGAAATCATAGTGCACAAAATGTATATTAGGACTGCTGATGGGGTGACCAGAGGAATGTTAAAGTGGGGTGATTGGGAAGGCCTCACTGAAAAAGTGAGGCTTGAACTAAGACTGAAGGTGAGGGGTGGGGGGGGCTGGCCAAGAGAACACATGGAGAAGAGCATTCCAGGCAGAGGGACAGAGCATAGGTCCTGGAGTGACAGCATGTCTGGTGTGTTCAGGGAACAGCACTGAAGGAGGCCAGTGTGGCTAGAAAGAGCTAGTGATTGAGGAGGGCAGGCAGATCACAAAGGGCCTTGGAGTCCACTGGAAGGACTCCACTGTCAAGTTCACTGTAAGGCTTTTACTCCATGTGACATAAGGAGTCGCTGCAGTTTTTTGAGCAGAGGAGTGATGTGTTAAAGTTCTGAAAAGGATCTCAGCACAGCTGCAGTGTTGAGAACAGACCGTGGTGGGTAAGGGGAGAAGCAGGGAGACCAGTCAGGCTGCTTAGATTGCAACAGCAGGAGAGGTTTTAAGAAGGAGTCAGATTCTGGATATATTTTGAAGATAGAGAGTCATGCCTTCCTAGCCGACTGGATATGAGATGAGGGAGCTATTGGATTGTCAAGGATGACAGCTGATCCCTGGATGAAGTGGCTCCCAATCATTTTGAGGTTTGAGTTTGTCAAACCAAACTGACACTCTGGTACAGATGTTAACAATTATCCTGATTTATTTGGTCTCACCGAATTTTAAATTCTCTTCAGTCCATTCCTCTTCTTCTCCCCCCACAAAAATAATCTAATCTGGTAAATCCAGCATGTTACAGATGGAGGAAGTCCTTCCCAGAGAAACCATGGATACGACACAGTGACACAGAGCCTACCCCAGAAGGCAACCCCACACTAGTTAATATTTAGTTAATATTTGATGGCTAGTCAAGCAACAATGGAAAGTTTCCACTAGTCATTTACTGGCTCCATAACTTTGGGCAAGTCATTTCTCCTCTCTGCCTCATTTCTTGGTCTTAAAGTAAGGATAATATTACCCCCAGGGTTACTGAGCTGATGTCAAGCATTAAAGCAGCATCCATCACAGAGTAAGCAATATGTAAGGGTTGTACTTATTACCATCACTGTTGCTAAGTGTTTTTGTTTTTTCTCAATCTCACAGTAATTTTACCAGGAGTAATACCTGGGTAACTGATGAGTCTAATATAAAAAACAGGAATACCCTAACACTAAGGTACACTAAATACAAAGGCAGGCAAGTTGCCTGTGGGCGTCATGGAAGCCTAACACAGTCACTGAAATTCTACAAACATTACCTGCTGTGTTTGGGCAGGGAAAACATAAACCTCATATCTTTGTGCTCTAAAGAAACTAACCTAACCCAGCTCCATGAATTTCTCTGAACCTTCCAAGACTAGCTGTCTGGAAGATCTTTCAGGGTATAAGAAATATGGTACTTAGGCACTTCAGCTTTTGTTACCTACTAAAATCAAGAACTCCTGAGATGCAGTTTTTACATGTTTACTAATCACCTAACAATCAGAAGTTAAAATACAGATATATATGTATATCTATACACTACAACTTAAGCAAATCTATTCTCTTCTCCCAGCCTCGGACAGAATGAATTTCCACGGAAAATGCCCCTGAACAACAATGACACTTCCAAGGCTCACCCAGCCAGCGATTTTCAACCCGGCTGCATCTTAGAATCACCTGGAGCGCTTTACACATACTAATGCCAAAGCCCAGTCCTAGATTTCTGCTCTAATTGAAACTGTTGAGAATGGCCAAATAGGTAAATACTACAAGTATTATTGACTGAATGTGGCAGACAGAGAGAACATTGTTTAAATAGTCAATTAGTATTTCTGGGTTTAAACTAGCCTCATACCAACTGGGTTCTGGGGTGAGAAGCCACTACAGCCCAGATTAGAAATCATCTACAGCCCAGATTAGAAATCCTCTTAACCTGCTCTATAGTCTCTCAAACCTCCCCAAACCTCCAAATCAAGAGCTGCCGCTCTTCCAAATGTTTTCTCAAAAGTGAATGATGACCAAAACTTAGATTTCTTCCAAATGAAAGAACACAACACTACTCTATTTTTTTCTGGCAAAATCCTTCTAAGCCTTACTGCCGAATAGCTGATTACAATTACTTTTATTTTCCTGTTTCCTTACTATAGGCAATAATAACATGCAGCCTGGATCTAAGAAATGAGAGTCTTCCTTTTGTTTGTATTATTTTAATCCATTATTTAAAACACAATGCCTCTACCTGATATTAGGGCACAACATAAGGGAGAAATTATCTTCAATGCTCCAACATTATATAGGACTAAGTGATGATTTCCTACAACAAAATCATTCATTCATTCCTTTAAAACACAATACTTAGTGTTTATTACATGCTGGCCACTTCTTTCAGGTGCTTGAGACCATAGGAATGATCATGACAGACCGAACTTAATATCCTGCTAGATGCTTTTAAATGCATAAATTTAAAAATAAAGTACGGTTATAGTTCAAAGGCAACTAAAGAGTAGGTCAACAAAATGGAAGTCTAAAATAACACCACTAGAAATGTCATACTGAGCCCTAATTTACTAAGTGCCTACTATAAACCAGACATTGTTTTAGTCTCTTTTACATATGGTACTCATTTAATAAAGTTGTTGTCCTAAAAAGAAGAATTTACTATTTAGAAGAAATTAAATGAGGCCAAATAATAAGAAAATTTTTCCCTTTGGTAGAGTTTAAATTTGGCTTTGCACACTAGATGGAATGTGCCATCCTAAAAGCGACAAGAATAAATTACGATAGACTTGTGCCAATTCATTCACACAAGAAATTTTTTCAGATTAGTTCAACCACATCAACTGTGAAAAGATTCAATGGTTAAAAAAAAAGTCAAGTTGTCATAGAAATATATTTCCAATTTCAAATTTTTAAGGTGAAAACTTATAAACTGTATGATGCATAAACTACCCATCTGTAGATATTAAACCACGTAGCTTATTGATAAAATGGTACTAATAAAGGTTCTGTAAGACCAATAAAATAAACAACCATTACTAGGCGCAGCGATCAGTCCTTTAACTTCCTTTACAAACACTAATCCAAACCAAAAGTCATTCAAATCAATCAGAAATTCACGGGACTGTAATTCAGCCCCAAGCAAAAACGAGGGGACTTATTCCAAAGCTCTCTGCAAATCACTGTGATAATACCGTAAAGAAAAAATTTTAAAGAATTCTGGTGAAGCTATCTGACTGCAATCTCTTAAACCATCACCCCCCCCCAAAAAAAGCTTTTTGTTGGTGGTTTGGGGAGGTTAGTTTTTCATGGAAATGGGCTGAAGGCCAGCAAGTGGGGTCAACTGGCGAGTTTCCGGGCAGCTGACCCAGGCACCCAGTCCTCGACCTGCCCAGGGTCCCCATACCCTTCGCCTTTCGGAGGACGGACGGCCTCACCCTTCTGCATGCAACTAGACGGGCGGCTCCGCCGGACAGACGGCCGGACCCCGGCCTGGACTCCGCCCAGGCCCGCTCTCGGGGGCGAAGACCCTGGCCCGCTAGCGGGTAAGGGACGAGAGCAACGGCCGCCGGGCGGGATGCGGGGCGCGCGCTCAGGCGGCGCGGGGCGTCGGAGGAATCGGAGGGACCCCCGCCCGCCCGCCCGCCCGCCTCACCGTCGATGTTCTCCCGGTCGCTGATGTGCTGCAGGTTGCAGCCCGTGTCCTCGCGGCTCAAGTCGGCGTCGGGCCGGCAGGACTCCAGCCGCGAGTGGGCATTCCTGCGGAGCTTGGGGCTGGACGACACGCAGCACGAGGCGGTGTTCCCCATGGCGGGCGCCCCGGCCCCGGCGCGGCCCCGGGTCAGCAGCGGCGGCGGCGGCGCGGCCTCGCCATGGGCGGCCCGGCTCCCCTCGCCCGGCCCGGCGGCCTGTCCGCGGCGGAGG